ACCAGCTGTAAGCTCTTGCTGGAAAGCCTCTGTTGTTCGTTCATTTGGACTTTGGATTTGTGCCAGGGCCTAAATTATGCATGTACATCCATTTTACTGGCTTATGTGCGTGCAGCTGGTGATTCCTTGCCACTGAGGCAAATGCACTCTGACTTCGAAGAAAGCCCCCAATTTGTTGACTCCGGCAACATGCTTGTTGGGGTGGCAGTGGGTCTATTCTTGTTTTCCTATAACGGGACCCCAGAACTCACTCAAGGCTGATGAGAATGACATTCTGTAAAGGACCTGCTGTATGATGACAATGAATCAACAATATCTGCTTACAGTCTGGAGATAAGGTGAACACATTTGCTCTGAAAATGAACTTTTTAAACAAACATGGACTGTGTAAACAAGACATACATATATCAACTGGGATGTCAAACTCAAGAGTTTCTTACAAGTGTCACGTGGAAGAGGTGGAGTTAAAGATCAGAAAAGGACTTAATGCACTTAGAAAGTGATGGTACCAGTGGCATATAGTTTTCTAAAAATAACTTTCAGCATCAGACAGGATTCATCGATATGTTAAATAGCATTTAATGTGAAGAAAACAATGATATCTGTAACATTCATTCCTGAACACCTGATCTCAGCTAACCCTAAGGGGCTGCATGGTCTCGGGGCATGGTCACAGCAACACTGTCACAACCTTAGCTTGGCCTCTCATCCACAGCAACACTGTCACAACCTTAGCTTGGCCTCTCATCCACAGCAACACTGTCACAACCTTAGCTTGGCCTCTCATCCACAGCAACACTGTCACAACCTTAGCTTGGCCTCTCATCCACAGCAACACTGTCACAATCTTAGCTTGGCCTCTCATCCACAGCAACACTGTCACAACCTTAGCCTGTCTTCTGTTCCAGAGCAACACTGTCACAACCTTAGCCTGTTTTCTGTTCCAGAGCAAAACTGTCACAACCTTAACCTGGCCTCTCCTCTAGAGCAACACTGTCACAACCTTAGACTGGCCGCCACTCCTCCAGAGCAACACTGTCACAACCTTAGCCTGTCTTCTGTTCCACAGCAACACTGTCATAATCATAGCCTGGTTTTTAACCACAGCAACTGAGAGAACTGTAAAGGAAGATAGCCGTGTTTTTGTCTTGACTACAAGTATTCTAACTATGTAGGTGATGGCAGTAACAAAACCAATGAACTGGCTAGAGAGACATATAGTTGGTCCCCATGCATGCTTTTTAACTGATTCTTTGACCATGCTTCAGAAGACTGACACAATGGTTGGAGTCTCTGAGGAAAACTCATCTGACAAAAATCGTTATTTTTTTCTGTGTCTAGACACTCTGGGGTAAAAGGGAATAAACGAGCAGACTGGCTTGTTGGCATGGCCACAGACAGGATAGGAACAGCAGTGGACCGACTGATGTTCTCAATGCTCTTAAGGAGGCAAAATGAGTAGGTGATTCAGGAGATTATGGTGCATCAACAGCCATAACAAGACTACAAGAACTTCATGTCAAAAGAGCTGTTGCCAGACATGAACATTATACAGATAGCCAAAGATGTATAGTAAACCAAAACAGAACTGGTGTTATCAGTCACCACACCCTGAGGGATATACTGAAGATGGGATCAGAGCACTTATGGACTAGTCAGATGTGCAATAAACCTGATCGGTTGATTAACTAACTAACACTGACACAAATCAATAAACTGTAGGCTCTGAAACATTGAGAACGCCTGGTATATACTCATCATCATTATGTAATATGTAGAATACTGATCTCATCACGGGATGCCTGAAAGCCACTCAGCCTCTTGACAACTGACCCCCTTTATGAACAGTCATGCCAGGTTGTCTCCAATTTTCTGTAATGACCATCATACTTCTTCCTATTTTACCTGGAACCATATCCAGCATTAATGTTCTGTACTAACTGTTAGGACATACACCAGATTTGGAAAAGTGAGGGGATCTTTCTAGTCAGGCTCGTCATCACCTCAGGCAATTGATTCGCACGCGTCCTTCAAGCCCAATATAACACTAGCATGGAAACATGGATAGTTGTAGTAGTCTTAGTCGAGGTCTCAAATTCACTCCAATCAGGCCACCAAATACATGCTTTGTTCCTGTGCCAGTGAAAATCAAATTAAACGTCCCTCATTGGAAAAACTGATAAACAAACTATTAGTCCCATCACATTCCAGATATTTACTCATGCAGTAAATGCATAAGGCAGTTTCTAGAGGTGCCAAAGCCAACAGTCACCACCATAAATGCAGTTTGTAGTTGATAGAAGTTGGCCATTCACCAAACTTATTACATAGGGTATTTTGCTAGCTCACACATAAACCCACTACCCACCAAACTGAATACTGTACCAAGACAACTGCTGCACAAATGAAAGGCATTCCACATGAAAAACACAGTTCACAGTGCTGCACCAAGCACTTAACAGCTTAGGCAGCAAAACCGTAGACTAAAATCCATCTGTGGAAATTGCATTTGCAAAGCACTGTCATGAGCACACATAAAACAATGAAGCTAAACATTCTGCCATGTATATCTTCCATTTTGGACCACAAGTCAGTTTAGAAAGAAGGATTAGTGATGACCAACCAGATTCAGAAAAAGAAAACACATTAAAATGAAAACAGAATACATGCAAGCTTCAGAACCAGCAAAGAAAAGGTTTTTAAAAAAAAATGAACTTACAAAGTGCTCTTGTTGTTGTCTTTTAATCTCCTCCTGTGTCATTCTACCAGCAAGAGGAACCACAAAGTTCTCATCTCCTTCTAGCAGAATTCTGACAACCCTGTCTTTGTCTTGATACATCTCAGATACGCTGTACTCTCTAACATCGTAGGCAGAATCAGTCAAAGAACTCGGGGAGTTGGAAATATACATTTCTATATCTAAGTTTGAGTGAGATGACGATGATAACCCACAAGCGAGGGACGACGATGGAGATGAGATGGTCTCAGCACCAGGAGATGTGAGTGGTACTGATGGGGTAGTCACACATGTTGTAGATGATGTTGAATGCTCTGTTGTTAATGATGCTGGTGGGTAGCCAGGAGAATAAGCAACTGCTGTTGACAGCGACAGTAAAGATGATGCAACATCTGTCAGTATACTAGGTGATGGTTTCATGGTGCTGCCTGATGGGGATCCATAGGGTGAAGTCAGGGATAAAGGAGACAATTCTAAAGACAGCTGATCATTGTGCTTCTGTTGCAGTTTCAGCGTAACATCACTGCTGTCTTGAGGACTGAAACATCATTATTATATTATTAGATATCAGAATAAAAAGGAATCAAGAAGTTACTACATTCATGAAACTATAGAACATGACAGCATCAAGCAGTTACCACATTCATGACACTATAAAGCATGACAACATCAAGCAGTTACCACATTCATGACACTATAAAGCATGACAGCATCAAGCAGTTACCACATTCATGAAACTATAAAGCATAACAGCATCAAGCAGTTACCACATTCATGACACTATAAAGCATAACAGCATCAAGCAGTTACCACATTCATGACACTATAAAGCATGACAACATCAAGCAGTTACCCCATTCATGACACTATAAAGCATGACAGCATCAAGCAGTTACCACATTCATGAAACTATAAAGCATGACAACATCAAGCAGTTACCACATTCATGAAACTATAAAGCATGACAACATCAAGCAGTTACCACATTCATGACACTATAAAGCATAACAGCATCAAGCAGTTACCACATTCATGAAACTATAAAGCATGACAACATCAAGCAGTTACCACATTCATGACACTATAAAGCATAACAGCATCAAGCAGTTACCACATTCATGACACTATAAAGCATGACAGCATCAAGCAGTTACCACATTCATGACACTATAAAGCATAACATCATCAAGCAGTTACCACATTCATGAAACTATAAAGCATGACAACATCAAGCAGTTACCACATTCATGACACTATAAAGCATGACAGCATCAAGCAGTTACCACATTCATGACACTATAAAGCATGACAGCATCAAGCAGTTATTATCTTCAGATAACATCAGAGAAACTACAACAGCACGAGGTAAGCCAAGAACAACAGGGACAGATAAATTACAGAATATGACAGCAACAAGCACTTACTACATGTATGAAATTATAGAGCATGACAGCATCAAGCCACTTACTACATTCATGAAATTACAGACCATGACAGCATCAAGCCACTTACTACATTCATAAAATAACAGACCATGACAGCATCAAGCCACTTTCTACATTCATGAAATTACAGAAGACAACAGCATCAAGCTACTTACTACATTCATGAAATTACAGAACATGACAGCATCAAGCCACTTACTACATTAAAAAAATACAGAACATGACAGCATCAAGCCACTTACTACATTCATGAAATTACAGAAGACAACAGCATCAAGCTACTTACTACATTCATGAAATTACAGAACATGACAGCATCAAGCCACTTACTACATTCATGAAATTACAGACCATGACAGCATCAAGCCACATTCATGAAATTACAGACCATGACAGCATCAAGCCACTTACTAAATTCATGTAATTACAGACCATGAGAGCATAAAGCGGTTATCCTTCTTCTTCTTCATTTCATCTTTTACTGCTACAGGTGTCAAGGGAGATAACAGGTCCTGCTTCTTGCTCCTCTGGCAGTCTTGACCACAGACACATGATACTGTTGAAGAATTTCTCTGAAGTTATCTTTCCATCTTGTTCTCAGTCTACCTTGTGCTTCCGGTACCATGTTCTAGTATGTTATGGTGTCACAAGGCATTCTCTCCAAGTGGGCAAACTATCTGATTTGCTGTCTTTGGTTCAGATTTTTCAACTCAGATGTCTGTTTAATGCCTTCACACTGTACTGCTATATTTAAGTTCTGTTTCATTCTTTCTACTGAAATTACCACTGTCTCTTCAGTGTTATTTCTCAAATTATTTGTTTTACATTCTTCCATCATAGATGTTAGATGTTCTTAATATTTCATGGCTGTATCTGCTATCAAGGCTTTGTCATCAGCAAGGAGTAATTCCTTGATCTTCAAATATTTATGGCATCCTTGCAGACACTGTCAATGTAAATGATAAACAGCAGAGGTGATAAGACATCCCTATCTTACTCTGGATGTTACTGTGAATGGTTTAACTATTCTCTCATTTATTCTAAGCTTCTACAATCTCTATATAAACTTTTGCAAACTCTGTTGAGCTGTTCGCTCACTTCATATCAAGCCATTACTTTCCATAATACTCGTCTATTGACTCTGTTGAATGCCTTCTCCTGGTCTACAAATACCACAAATAAGTTCTTAATGTATTCTATGTTATTTTCATTAACTGTTTAGTGTGAAGATGGCATCGGTGCAGCTTCTGTTTCTCCTAAATCACAACTTTTCTTTTGTCAACTGGCTTTATCACTATTATCTTGGCATACATTTTGTCAACATAACTTAAAAGAGGGATGCCTTGTTATAGACTTCATTCTCACTGTCTTCCTTTGTTCTTCCACAATGGTATAACTATTGATTGTTGCCAGTCAGTAGGGGGCGGTTTTTTTTTGTACACCTGCTGCCTGGGTTATTTATGTTTGTATCTATCAGTTCCTAGTGCTTTATATTTGGGAGACTGCATAATGACTTTCTATTTCATCATTTAGTATATCTGGTTTTAGCACTGCAGCTCTGTAGTCTTGAGTTGTTCTTTCCTGGTGATCTCCTAAGGGGTTAAAAAGCTCAGTGAAATATTCCCTCCATCTTTTTGCTATTTCTAGTGGATCTGTTAAAGGCCTTTCCGTCTTATCCTTAATTAATTCTGTGGAATTGTAGCTTTTATCTCTTCTTCCTATACTTGTGATTACTTTGAAAAATGTTCTAAATATTACATTCACATAATCTTCTTTTAATCAATCAAGTGCTGTCTTCCCATTGAAGGGCCACTGAAATGGATATCCAGCGAACTCTGTCATTCATCTTGGATATACAGTGGTAGCCAAAAGTTTTAGAACATCTAATAAGTGATATTTCATCCTATTTTGTAGTATCACATCAAATACAGACTGATGATGTTTTCAGTACCACTTGATTGTTTCAGTGGTATTATCTCTGAATTTTTTGTTTACAAGAAGACAGGCACAAACTGACACTTTTCACTATTCAAACAACTTAAATAAAAACATGATACAGAGAAAGAAACACGGAATTTGATATTTATGTTTGAACTGGTACAGAAAGATTGTGGTTCATAATGTAATCATCAGGTACTGTATCACTAAAGACAACTTGGCTCAGAAGTTACAAGAAAAAAGAAAATCTTTGGAGATCAACACAGATGCCTTATTCTCTATTTTTTTTTAAACTAAACAGATTGTAATGTAGTTCCTACCTCATTGAAAACAAGTACTCAATGTCTGGCAGTGTGGATACGTGTGAGGCGCTGCCAGTTTGTAGCAAGTTGACAGTACTTGTATACACTTTGGCTCTTTGACTCTCAGCTTCTGCTAACATCTGGCATCTGCTGTCAATATGTGCCCTTCGACTAACATTCACAACAGCATCTGCATTTTCTGGACCAATGTAGCAGTCTGGCAGTTCGGTTTTTATCTCAGTCACAGATGCTACTGAAAAATCACCTAGTGTATCTGTAAACAAAACTGGACACTGGTCACTTTGATTCTCACAGCCCAGGGAGGTTTCAGAATCAATGTCACTACTGAAAACAGGCAAGTTTGCCAGAGATTCGGTCTGTCTGTGTGGGGATGGGTTGGCTGATTTTTTCTTGGTCTTTTCTTGCAGTTTCTTAATTTCCAGAATGTCATTTGTTCGTTTGATTGATGTGTATCTGCCAGTTTTGATTGCTGTCATAGAAAGGTTACAAAAGTTACTTTCTGTGTCATGATATGCATGTATAACATTCTGATACATTATAAGAAAACATGAGAACAAGTACAAAAATTCAAATAACTAGGAAGCATATTTACCGAGGATGGCAAACTCAATAGGCAGATGGAAGCCAGAGTACAGAAGGCAAATGCTGTCACCTACCAGTTAGCCCCACTGTTTAGACACCTAAATGTCTCCCTTCCAGCAAAACAGCTAATGATTAATAGAATCTTCATCTACTAATTTATGCTGTCAGTGCCAAACATGGACAATGAATAGGGCACTAGAACAGAAAAAGTGACAGTAAGGTCTCTAACAACACAAGAAGGAGGCAGGGCTACGAATACCAGAATTAGAGAGAAAATTGAATAAGACCAGGTCTGGATTATATTGTCAAAGAATAAAATGGTTTGAGAATGCAGCCAGATCAAACTGCATATGAGACTTTTTACAGCAGAACATCTGGGAGGAAGGTGAGGGGAAGACCAGGAAAGTGATGGATAAAGGGTGTAGCAAAAAGATGAACAAATCCATCATCCAAGCTACCCAAGAAGTGCAAGGCAAATAAGAAAACCATGACACTTGGCCGCAACCTGATATCAGTGAGACGACAAGAGAAGAAGAGAAGAAAACACTGATATCCATATAGAAGCCCTAATGTAGAATTCCTGTTTGTGATGTGAAATATAGGCCCCAATGTTGAATACCTTTTTTGGTTTTTTGGTATGTATTATATAAGTCACAAAGTAGAATTTCTATTTTATATGTGCAACAGATGTTTCTATTGTGAATTCTCATTTGGGATGTGGAGTATGAGCCACCATTTAAAATTTGCTTTTAAGATGTTGGAATCAGGACATCACGTATGACTGAAGTTATCTATATACAGATGATATGTTTACTGTTGTCTCTTGATGTGTTTATTGTTGTCTGGTGAAGTGGTTAATTATTGTGTGGTAAAACCCATTTAAATACAGACTCTCACTTTTCTGTCAGAGGCTATGAAACATATAGGCTAGACAGAGATGGCCACAAAGGAGGCATCATTACATTAGTTGAAAATAATATTGCAGCCACAGAAACTTTCAATGATTTACTGTTGTAGTTTACCTTCCTTGGCCATGCCGACCAACAAGCATTTCTGGTATCTGCAGTACTGGCACAGTTTCTGATGCCCATGCTCGATGACACAACAATACTGACCATCACATTTGTACTGGCTTCCCTATCATAGGGTAGACAATGTAAGCTCTGTTCTGTGATATATTATCATAGGGTAGTGTTTTCTCTGCTCTGATATATTATCATGTGATATATTGTCAAAGGGTAGACAGTGTATTCTCTGTTCTGTGATATATTATCATAGGGTAGACAGTGTATTCTCTGTTCTGTGATATATTATCATAGGGTAGACAGTGTATTCTCTGTTCTGTGATAGATTATCATAGGGTAGACAGTGTATTCTCTGTTCTGTGGTAGATTATCATTGGGTAGACAATGTAAGCTCTGTTCTGTGATAGATTATCATAGGGTAGACAGTGTATTCTCTGTTCTGTGATAGATTATCATAGGGTAGACAGTGTAAGCTCTGTTTTGTGATATATTATCATAGGGTAGACAATGTAAGCTCTGTTCTGTGATATATTATCATAGGGTAGACAGTGTATTCTCTGTTTTGTGATATATTATCATAGGGTAGACAGTGTATTCTCTGTTCTGTAATAGATTATCATAGGGTAGACAGTGTATTCTCTGTTCTGTGATATATTATCATAGGGTAGACAATGTAAGCTCTGTTCTCTGATATATTATCATAGGGTAGACAGTGTAAGCTCTGTTCTGTGATATATTATCATAGGGTAGACAGTGTATTCTCTGTTCTGTGATATATTATCATAGGGTAGACAGTGTAAGCTCTGTTCTGTGATATATTATCATAGGGTAGACAATGTAAGCTCTGTTCTGTGTTATATTATCATAGGGTAGACAGTGTAAGCTCTGTTCTGTGATACATTATCAAAGGGTAGACAGTGTATTCTCTGTTCTGTGATAGATTATCATAGGCTAGACAATGTAAGCTCTGTTCTGTAATATATTATCATAGGGTAGACAGTGTAAGCTCTGTTCTGTGATATATTATCATAGGGTAGACAGTGTATTCTCTGTTCTGTGATAGATTATCATAGGGTAGACAATGTAAGCTCTGTTCTGTGATATATTATCATAGGGTAGACAGTGTAAGCTCTGTTCTGTGATATATTATCATAGGGTAGACAGTGTAAACTCTGTTCTGTGATATATTATCATAGGGTAGACAGTGTATTCTCTGTTCTGTGATAGATTATCATAGGGTAGACAATGTAAGCTCTGTTCTGTGATATATTATCATAGGGTAGACAGTGTATTCTCTGTTCTGTGATATATTATCATAGGGTAGACAGTGTATTCTCTGTTCTGTGATAGATTATCATAGTGTAGACAATGTAAGCTCTGATCTGTGATACATTATCATAGTGTAGACAGTGTAAGCTCTGATCTGTGATACATTATCATAGTGTAGACAGTGTAAGCTCTGATCTGTGATACATTATCATAGTGTAGACAGTGTAAGTGCTGATCTATTATATATTATACAGGGTAGATAGTGTAAGCTCTGATCTGTGATACATTATCATAGTGTAGACAGTGTAAGCTCTGATCTATTATATATTATATAGGGTAGACAATGTAAGTTCTGATCTGTGATACATTATCATAGTGTAGACAGTGTAAGCTCTGATCTATTATATATTATCATAGTGTAGACAGTGTGAGCTCTGATCTGTGATACATTATCATAGTGTAGACAGTGTAAGCTCTGATCTGTGATACATTATCATAGTGTAGACAGTGTAAGCTCTGATCTGTGATACATTATCATAGTGTAGACAGTGTAAGCTCTGATCTGTGATACATTATCATAGTGTAGACAGTGTAAGCTCTGATCTGTGTTACATTATCATAGTGTAGACAGTGTAAGCGCTGATCTATTATATATTATATAGGGTAGATAATGTAAGCTCTTCTCTGTGTCACAGTATCATAGTGCACACTGTGTATTCTCTGTTATGTAATTTATTGTCACACAACAAACTATGTATTCTCAGTTCAATATCATACTGCAGACAGTGCCAGCTCTATTCTGTGATATATTATCAAAGAGAAGGCAGCATTTTCTTGTTTCTGTGACATCTTATCACAAATAAGATGGGGTTTTCTAATTTGCATTTTATGTTAACATAAAGTAATAGAGTGTGCTGTTAATCATATCTTATATTATTACACAGTTTGTCTGTCATTCACCAGCTAACCTTGCAAGCTTCGCAGGTGTTAGCTCCATAATGAAAACCTGCTCCTGGAGCATCACAGACTCGACATGGCGGCAAATGTGCTTTGGTATCGTCAGCAGCATCTGTATGTTTTCTTTTCCTTCCCATGCTGCTGCGGTTTCTATGCCATGCATGTATTTTACCTGCCGGCAGGAAGTTTGAGCTACCCCGGTTTGATCGTTGTCATCCAGCACTTGTTCTGAGCCTGCGAGACCTGAGTAAACAGAGAGGAAAAAAAGCTGCTAACACAGGGCTGAAATGTGATGATGCTTATTGCTTGAGCCTGGTCCAGGCCAATGTTTGTTGACCACATTGATCCTGCTGTCGGCAGTATTTGGTTATATTTATGGTTTAGTTTACTTCTGCTAAGTGTATTGGCTGAGAGTGGGGTATGTGTGCCAGGTTTTTTGGCTGTGTGTCCCTAACCAGATAAATTGTCTACTCCTACTTGTCTGGGTACCACTGGGGTATTATTATCCTTGTCGTCCTGATGGCTCTTCCTCCTTTGTACTGACTGTAATAGATACACATGTGTTATCTTCTGTCAGTTAAGTCTCCTTAGTGTATTTTGTCTGCTCTGCTATCCTCACTTATTGTTTTATAATTTTGAATATTTAAAGTGTTAAAAGTACTGCAATCAGTTTTTGGTTTTGTATAGATCTGACATTTTAAAAATCAATTTATGGTTGATCATAATGAATCTATGGACGCATTCCTGAAATATAATGTTGATAATGCAAAACCCGAGATGTGGATGGAATGGTTGGCGAAGGCTACTAATGAATGTAGATGCCATAGATGTTCAGTCTGATTGGTGATGACTACGGTTATATTAATGATCTCATGTGGGAGTGCTGACTGACATGTCTGTGGGTAGGAGGCTTGGAGGTGAGGGGAGCTCGTGTGTACTAGCAACTATCTCCAGTTCTTTAAACCTGCTTAACCACTGACAGGCAGTAATGCTCTCTATCCCAAACAACACACTATGTGTGATCCAAGCCACCATAACTTGATCAAGGAATATATTGCTTCAGCGCCCCCCCCCCCCCACCTTCTACACATTCTAACTTCCTAAGCAGTATCTGCTTAAAGTAATGGGTCTGAGAAGGTTCAAATAATAATAATGCTTTTGGACAAAAGGAACTAAATTATATCAGTTGGGATAAAGTTAAAGCTATGGCTAGATAGGGTACTACAATGTGCTCAGAAAGGCACAGCGTGTTAAGTAACTTCATTAAACCCATCAAAAACTGTAGAGCTGTTTGATACTAAAAGTAAAAGAGTTAAACTGAACCAAACCATCACAGTGTGCTAGACAAGCGGCTGCACAAGATCCTTTCGTCCTACACCGTCCTACAAAGTGGTGCTGCAAGGGACAGGAAATACATTATAAATTATGAATGAATATTAATTTAGCAGTTTCCCCCTATATAATGTGTTTGCTTTTAGTTACTGTTTTACAAAGAGTACTGAGTACTGTCTTATGGTTCTTATACAGACTTGGTAGAACAGCCATTACTTCTTGTTGTTAGGTTACAATGAATAACTTACTGTAGAGCTTTTTTTTATTTCGTTACAGGTGTTAGAATGATATGTCCGCATGCAATCATCAAGTGTTCCCTTTAAATCAGAAAGCACATAAGTCCAGGCGTGATCAAGTGTTGGGTGTCAACAAGATCATTGCAGGCGCTGAAGCAGAGATCCTTCTGTCACATGACAAGGTTATGGGAGTCAGGTCAGGGGTCAAGGGTCACCATATGATGACTATCTTATTCAGTGGTACAATGCCTTCTCCAGATATCTGGAGAGCTACCTGAGAATTCGACTGTTCCGGGTCGGCGTTCGAATTCCCAATCGTTCGAGTTCCAATGCATTTTTGCTATTGAAAATAATGAAAACTAAATTAATTTGTTCCAGAGTTGAAAAAAAAAAAAAAAAAAAAACTCAAGTTTTAAAATGTAGTTTTTCAAACCCGGTGACTTTAAATATAGAACACACAATTATCGTTTTTAAATGCAGACATAAAAAAAAATTAAAGGGTAAAACGCACGAAGTCGTGTCCAGAAAGAGAGTGACTTTCATCGCCATTTATCCCTGGTCGTGTCGTAGGGCCTATCCGATGTTTCGGGGGGGGGGTGCAACACAACGAATTTTACGCGGTGTTTCCACCGGCCGGCACTATATCGTGTTGTATATTTTAAACGATGTGAGCGTTTTTAACGGTTCCAAAATATGTAGATTTGGCCCCACCACAACACCCCTCACCCCCACCCCACCCCACCCCCTACGCCACAGCCTCAGCTATTGTCCGACGAAAAAGGGCAGCCTACGTAACACGACTGCATGTACCCTGTGACAACAACGCGTAAAAAGACCTTCTGTGTTTTCTATATAGTGGGCAATGAAAGGGCCGACAGATTAGCAGGCTCTGTCTTAGTTACAGAGGGCCGACCCGTGGATCATACAGAAATTGTTAATGCCATTAGAGAGGTAGGACGTTTCGGCGGTTTTTGGGAGCAGCACATCCACATCTTTGCTAAGAATGCAAGAATTAGGAGCAAAGATCGGCACAGCCAGGCACGAGAAGCCCATCGGACGAACGAGACGTCTTGTCAACTAACATTGGACTGGAACTATCAACGTGGGACGCTGATGTATGTGCTGAAGGCGGAATCAGAGAACCCATTGAATGGTCCGGAGTGCCGAGAAGATAACCCAAAATAACTTATAACTCTCTTTCCGTGCCAGACTTCGCGAGTTGATCCATAAAAAGACGTAAGAACACTGTATTTACTGAATCTGAATCAAAATTGCGACATAGCGGATTGAAGTAAGAGCAGAAAGGATTCAGGAAGATTATTATTTAGAAGGTGATTCACCTTTAATGATAACATCCGGATTCCTGTCTGGTGTTTTATGGCGTTTTCGTTCACCACTTCTAGTGGAGCGTGTTTGTGATCATTAGTTTTTGTTGACAGCCAACGTTCCAATGTGCTCTAGTGTTGATGATCAGTTTGTAATCTTTCTAATATATTCGATAATGTTATCACTGAATAACTGAACACTCAAGGTAACTAGGGCTCCATCATGGTGATATCTCTCAGCAGCTTCTTGCGTTTTCCATCTCATGGTCAAAAGAACTTGGATTTCATCAGTTGCTAATCCTTTCAGCTTTCCCCTCTTCCTCATCAGAAGTCATTTCGTCTTCAATTTCTTCCTTCTTCTGCTGGTGAAAGTGCTGATGTTCTTGCATTGTCAGTTCAGTCACGTGATTGAAATCAGTTGAAATCAGTTAGCGATTTCAATGTAGAACATTCTAGAGAATAGCAGATAATACAAAGAATTAAAGAAGTCAAGGAAGCAAGTAACCGTAAAGAAATACAATTTCAATGAGTGGATTTTAAACCATTTAAAATCTAACAGAGGTTCTGGTCCCGATAAAGTCGCCAACGATATGTTATTATACATGGGACTAAGAGCACCCCAAAAAAATTACTAAAAATCTTTCATGCTAGCAAAATGTTTATACATCGTTCCTCCAGCTTGGAGAAAGTCTGAAACATTCGTAATCAAGCAAGGAAAACCGAAGAACAAAGTAGACAGCTACAGACCCCTCAGCCTCATTAGCTGTCTGTGCAAAATATTTGAAAGAATAAATAACAACCGCATGACCCGGTTCCTAGAGAAACATTTCAAACTAATGATGGAACAGGCAGGTTTTCTACCTTTTAGATCAACACACGATCCAGTGACATTTATTGCTTAACACATTAAAGATGCATTCAGGAAAATGAAGTAAACTATTACAGTCTGGGTGTATAAGGACAGGGCCTTCGACAGAGTATGGAAAACGGGGCTGAATCAAAAGCTACTTGAATGTGGAATATCCAGTCATGTGCTTAGGTGGATTTAAAAAATGTATAGAAAATCGAACTGCAGGAAGCAAGATACAAGGTTCAAGAAGCAGATCAGTCACAATAAAGCGTGGAGTCCCCAAAGGCGGGGTTCTATCCTCAGTTTATTACCTTTTTTTTTTTTTATTTAAGCCACATAAGGGCTGCGTGGTCTCGAAGCATGGTGGTTCGCCTCGAGTGTTCGAGGTTCAAGACCCGGCAAGGGCTGGGTTTTTTTCACGTCGACTTGGACTTCTAGTAATTCCCCCGGTCTCGATAGTGAGATCGGACGCCAGTGTACATTGTTGCGCACGTAAAAAATCTATTGGCAGTTGGAAATTAAAAAAAAAAGTAGCATAAAGGCGCTACCCGTGCAAAATTTTGAGTAAAATATATACCCAAAGTATTTCAGAATTCTCGCCGGTGCTACAGAGCTTGTGCACTGTGCTGAAGAGCTTCTTCGGACTCAGACTTGAGTTAGAAAAGAAACTACCCGTGTGCCATGATACTGATATGTTGTTCAAACTTAAACTTCTATTATTGCCACAAAATCAATCCTCTGTATGGTCTCAAGCTGTAGGGTATGAGCTCAGACAAGGCTTCAAGAATCCCTCAGAAATTTCGAGGAGTGGGTCCGGTAGATGGTACATACATGTAAATGGGACCAGAACGCCACACACCATTTTCAGTCTGTCCAACAAACGTCAGAAAGTTTTCTTTTTGTATGGCATACAGGCAACGGAACATATTGACTTACCATCGTACTTAGGGGTAACCTTTGATCTAAGACTCACATGGAGAAAACAAAGAGAACAGAAACAGCGCAAGGCACTCAAGAGAACTCTCAACTGATGAGGAAATTTGCTAGAAAAGAATGGGGGTGGGGGAGGCGGGGGGTGGAAAGGGGGAGGGGTGGGAGTACTAACTCGGTGTCCTCAAGAGAACCTATAAGGGCTATGTGAGGCCAGCAAGACAGCACCTGAACTATATATATTTATTTGTGTGTGTGTGTGATTGTGTATGTGTTTGTGTGGGATTAAAGGTGTGTGTATGTATGTGTGTTTGTGTGTGTGATTGTATTTGTATGCAAGTGTGTGTGTCACTAACTCGCATCTAAATACAGTGTTGACTGTGACACTGGCCATTACCTAGCTGACCTACAAGAGTTCGGCTGACACCAGAGATAAATTTCACTTCAAGAAACAAATCGTTAAA